GCACCCCGGTCCTGCTGGTTTTCCACCCTTCCCGCCTTGCTCGCGGTGAGCCCCGTGGGGAAACAGTGCAAAAAGCAGCTTGTGAGTGGTGGGGTCAGGGCCCTCCCCTGGATCCAGCCCTCCTAGGAGAGATTTTCCACTCGAGCTTGAGCACAGCTCTTAACCTTGGCACGTTATGGGTGGATTTGAGCCCTGCCCTCCCCAAACTCCCACTTTGTCAGCGCATGTGCTGTTTCCTTCATCTGCACGGTGCAGAGTTACCCACCCTCTTGCAGATGGGCTGCGATGGCTGGGGATGGTACTCTGTGACTGCAGAACTGGGGCGGCTGCCTTCAGCCTGAAATTCAGGCTGCTATCTGTAGGGAAAAATCTCCCTGCATTGAACAAGCTGTTTCAAATAGACTTTCCATCAGGGGGTTGCTCAGCAATATTTTATTTTCCTTTTTTTTTTTTTTTTCTTCTGCTGAGAGGCTAAAACGCGTCTGTGAAGTGCTGCCAAACAAATAAATGAGGGCAGAAAGGTACCCGCTATTTATTTTGGCTGGCGGAGCTGTGTGCTGGGGTAGGGGAGGAGGAGGAGGAGGGTGAGTCAGCATTTCAATGCAGCAAAGATCTTCAATCAGGCTGCTACAAGCGGAGGTTTCCCTCTAGAGGAATACGCCGTCCTCCGCTCCTTATTTCGCTGAGCACTTCCAGCATCCTTCATCAGAGAGGGAAAACGGGGTTTTCTGTGGGGAGAGCAGGTCTGCTGCCAGTGACCAGTGCAGGGGATGCTTGTTCTGAGGAAAGGGGTTGAACGGTGACGGTGCAATTGGTGCTTTGAAAACCCAAGGGAAAGACACGGGCTCTGCTGCCGGGAGTTTGTGACTGGGAGAGGTTTGTGCAGCCCCTGAGCAAGCCCTGGTGGGTCCCAGTGGGGACAGGCAGTGAAAAGGGAATGTCACTAGGGGGGTTTGGAGGAGGAAAACCGGAATCTGACACAAAAAAGATGGATTTAAGTTCAGTCTTTATATCTTTATCTTGGCTTGGGCTGCACGTTTTGCTGGAGGAGGATGCGGGACTGCTGCCTGGCAGGGGAGAGATTTGGGTCCTGTGCTGGAGCCAAAGCTACATGGCTTCTGGTTTCCTTCCCTCCAAGAAAATATTCATGTTCACCCACCTTGTTTCCCAGACAAAGTTAATTTTGTTGCATCCTGACACTGGTGTTTAGGCCACGAGGGGCACGGGGCAGGTGGGGACGACCGTTCTGATTCCTGGGGGCTCAGACCTGGCAGGCAGCAGTTTGGAGCCTGGACCAGCTTGCTGGTGCAGCTGAGAGTTCCTCTTCCTCAGAGATCCAGCACCCTGTGAGCCCCATCGTGACTTGCGGAAGGAAGACAGAGCTATTTTGAGTGGGTTTGAAGAGACCTGGAAGCTGTTCATCCACCCGTGCAGTGCAGTTTGGGGCACTGCTCATCACGTCTGCCTGGGTGAGAGGGCTGCTCTGGGCATCAGCCATCCCCCGGGGAAGCCACTTCAACCCCTCGGCCTTCTGGCAGCTGTGAAGGTTGTTAGCAACGCGCACTCATTAGGAGCCTGCAGCTGATTAATGCTCTGTAGCCATTTAGTGCTAGAGCCCAGTGGAGCTCGTTGGATCAAGCCTCGGTTGCTCTTACTCAGCACTAAATGCCGTTTAAACAGAATCACAACCGAGCGATTTTATTCCAGACCAAAGCATTGAAGGAAGTGCCAGGGAGAAGCAGCGATCACCGGAGCAAGCGGAGGCAGCGGCGAGCGCTGTTTGCAGCCCCCCTGAGATGGTGGGGTTTCAGCTTGGGCCTTGCCACCTTCCCTTTCCAACTGGAAAGGAAAATTTGCCGTGTTTTGCCCTGTTCCACCACAGATCAAACCTATTTGTGGATCTTTTGAACTCACCCAGCTGGACTTGGGGTCGTGGGCAGCTGTGAGAGCTTAAATTTGAAGGTGATTAGGGGGGAAAAAAAAAAAAAAAGTCGATTTACAGCAAGTGGCAGCAAACAGGAGCCTGTGTTCCAGTGTATGTGTTTGGCTGAGGAGTGTGGAGCCACCCAGCAGCTGCAGACATCGCTCTGCATTCAGGAAACGGGAAGAATTGAGGGTCTGTCAATACGAGCTGTGGCCTGGAGACCCTTGGGATGGCCAACGTGGAAGAGCGGTGATGGAGAGCTGGGCTGCCCTGTCTGCTGGAGCAAACGCTGTCGTGCTGTGCTGCTGCTGCCTTGGGGCTGCGCTTCTACAGAATGGCTGCCCAGTGCTGGTCTGGAGTGCTGGAGGCAGGGGTCAGAGCACCCCAACCGCCTGGAGAGCGGGTGGGTGTCCAGAGAGGGTGGCTGCCGAGCAGAGAGCGGCTGACGGTCTCTCTGGGGTGGTTTGTGCCTTAAAGGGCTGTCACCTTCCACATCAGCGGCTCTCATCACTTCTCCTGGAGGTTTTCTGGGCTCACCGAGAGCTCAAAATAGTTCAGTCTGGAGAAGAGGAGGCTGAGGGGAGACCTCCTGGCCCTCTGCAACTCCCTGCCAGGAGGGGGCAGAGAGGGGGGATGAGTCTCTGGAGCCAAGGCCCCAGCGCCAGGCCCCGAGGGAATGGCCTCAAGCTGCCCAGGGCAAGGTCAGGCTGGCTCTGAGGAAGGATTTCTGTGCAGAAGGGGCTGTTGGGCGTTGGAATGGGCTGCCCAGGGCAGGGGGGAGTCCCCGGGATCCCTGGAGGGGTTGAAGAGTCGGGCTGAGCCAGCGCTGAGGGATCTGGGGGAGTTGGGAATGGTCAGGGGGAGGGGTCATGCTTGGGCTGGAGGAGCTGCAAGGGCTTTTCCAACCTGGATGATTCTGGGATTCTCAACACCCGGGAAGAGCTGGGCTGCTCAATTTCTCTTCAGTGGAGCTCTGTGCCTGGCTGCCCACAGTGGGTTTTCCACCCATGGGGATGTGGAGACATGACAGAGCGCAGCTGGGCTGTGTGGGGACAGGGATGGGCACCTGCTCCACGGCCCCTACTGCTGCTTAGTGGCAGCAGGAGAGGGCACCCACGAGCTGTCTCTGCCCGCAGGTCTGAGTGAAAATGAAGGTTTCGGGTCTTTTTTTGTGCCTGAATTCTTAGTTCTGCTCTGGAGTATTTGGCATAGCATGTGGCAGGTGCTGGAGCTGAGCCCATTGTGCCTGGCCGCTTGCACTGTGTGTTACCTACCTAAAAACTGGGATGGGGAGACTTTGGTGGCATTGATTGTGTAACTAGGCACCTTTCCAAGGTGGCTGCTCAGAAGATGATGCATGAGGGGGGTTTTGAAGCTGCCAGGAGTGGGGAGAAGTGGGTCCTACCACGCTGCTCTGGTGTGTGCAGGCTCCTGCCAGTCCGTCCGTCGCTCATGGCTCAAGGTGCACTGCTGGCACACAACCCTGCCTGCTTTAAAAGCAACCCAGGCTAGCTGCACCTTCACCCATCCTTAACTTTTGCCTCAAGATGGCATTTTTGCGCTTTAAAACGTGCCTAAGGTTTTTCATGACATCCGTAATAATGGATGAAAAGAGTTGTCCAAGCAACCTTGCCGTCTGACAGCGCATTGACCGTGATCTTCCAGTGCCGCCTGTGACCCCTCCCAGCAGCTCGGGTGAGGCAGGGAAATACCGAGATGTAGCCCCAGGGCTGGACATACCCCGTGCATATTGGCAAAGCAATTACTTTATTCATTCCTCATTAAACTTTGATATGCCCAGTGCTGGCTGATCAATGTCCGTATTTCTCCCAAACCAAGACCAGGGTCTCTTTGAAGCTCGGCTGTCGCAGCCGACGTAGTTGCTGGTGCCGGGTGTCCCCATCCTGGGGGACGGGTTTGCTCCTGGTAGGGCTGGATCAAGGGTTGGGGGGCTTGGGAGGAGGGAGCGTGGCAGTTGGGGTGATGTGAAATCCTCCAGGATGGGCAGCAAGTCTTCCCTGGGCGTGGGGTGATGCTCGTTGCTGGAGGAGTTCCCAAAGGAAGATCGATGAAATCCCAAGGAGAGGTCAGTGTAGTCCCTCAGAGGGACACCCCCAGCTCGGGGTGAGGTGCAGGAGTGAGTCTGAATTCGAGATGTGCTGAATCCTTTCCTCCTCCTTGGGGTCCCCAGTGGGGATTCAGGCATTTCAGGCCCGAAGTGACATGACCAAGGGCATGTGGGCAGAGCAGAGCATGGACCCAGCGCCACATCCTGGCCACGTGCTCCCCCCTGCTCGGCTCTTGGTGCTCGGCCACCTGCAGCCACACTACCCTCCCTCTTGTGCGAGAGGGAGCCCCGCGTCTGCTGGCATCCTGATAACGTTGCCAAACAAGTAACAAGGCACTGGGGTAAATGTAAACTGGGAGAGACTCAGTCCTGCGTGCTCTTACTGGCTCAGGTATTCCGGATCTACAGCTCCTTGAAGCCTTGGGACAAAAAAAAAATGTGCTGAGCCGTTGGGCTGCAGGAGATGGGCAGAACCTCTCGGGCTGCTGAGCCTTAGGGCTTGCTAAGGCAGAAAGGGGACGTTGTGAGGACTGTTCTAGAAGAAGGGCTGCCCTTTCCTTTTTGTCGTGCATGCCCTTTCCTCGCCTTGACTCCATAATCATTGCTCTGCCTAACAAGAGAGACGAGTATGTATTTGATCATTGCATTGCTTTGAACCGAAGCGTTTGTAGTGTGTGTGGTGTATGCTTACAGCACTGTCACAGCATTAACCAGGAGGACTGTTTTGTCTTCCCTCCACAGCCTGGAAGTGTCTCCTCAGGTAGAAACCAGCTCAGATGCTCCTTCTCATTTTCCTCCCTGCTCCCCTGCCCAGTTTCCTCCTGCTGCTGTAGCCCATCTCGCTAGCATGCCGAGCGCTAACCTCTCTCCCGCTATTGGAGACAGTCAGTCCGGATGCTTGTCCCCCACCAACCCATTCCTCAACTCCCTGCAGAGCAATCCTTTCTTTGAGGACCTCCTCGCTGACCAGGTACTAAATTCTCCTTCACCTACTCACTTTTTCTCTAGTTTCCCGTCTGGGCCGCATGCATCAACAGAGGTCGCTGGGAACTTTTATTCCTCTGAGGATTGCAGTCCCTCTGCCTCCCTAAGACATAAAGACCCGGAGGGAGAATCTCCAGCCAAAAGCGTTTGTGTCCCTGTTCCAGAAACTACTCCCCCATCACAAGGAGACCTTCCTCCTCCAGATGAGAAACCCGCTGTCCCTCCTCCTCCTCTCTCAGAGTGGGACGATACCTTCGATGCTTTTGCAACAAGCAGGCTCAAACCAGAACTGAAGAAGGAAAATTTCTTCGCTTCGGTGGTGGCGGAGGGCATGGCTTTCATCGACGATCCCGATGCAGCCAGCCCAACGGAAAGATCGGCCGAGCCGCCTCATGAGAAAGGGACAAAAGTCTTTGAAAAGGCTGATTCGCAAATCGGTGGTGAAATGCCCACAGCTCTACGGTCTTGGACAAATTTCTCTGGTTTAGACGTGGGGGCGAACTTGGTGAGCACAACCCAGGAAGCGACCGTGATAGAGGATGTGCTGAGCCCCGTGTCTGCGGGGTCGATGGGAAGGAGGAGGAAGAGCAGCACACCCACGGTTTGGACAGCCACCTTTGCAGCGGGAAATCCTGGAGAAAAAGAGGCTTCAACACCACTAACTGCTGAGAAGAGTGCTAGGGAGGAAGGGGACAGCAATGAGGAGGAACCCTCTAGTGCAGGGACAAACGGATGGATGACCATAGCCACTGAAACCGCTCCTGACCTGTCGGAGAGCACCCAGAGCGTGGCTGAGCGTGGGGCTCAGGAGAGCGCTTTCAGCCCGCGACCAGCCTTCCTCGGCAAAGGCGCCTTCGAGGCAAAAAATGGATCTCACGCTGCCGCTTGTGTGTTGCCCAGAAGCACCTTCAGCCCTGAGCTCGCCTCCGAAACCCTGGCAGGCAGCAACGTGGCAGCTGTGCCCCCGCGGGTGCTCGCAGATGTGGCCTCACGACGGTTCCCCGTGGCCCCCGAGCCAGGGACCGAGCCCCAGGGTGCTGGTGGCGAGGAGGAAATGTTCGACATACGGACTTCGGTCTACCGGCTCCAGGCGAGCATGCGGCTCGAGGCCAGTGAAAGCCGCCTCAAACTCAGCTCAGACATTCGTGAGAGGCACGTTGTCCTCTCTCCGTGGACAGGAACCCGAGAGAGGGAGGAGATGGCAGCTGGCTCGGCTGCGCCGCCCCCCAAACCTCCGAGGTGGTTTGCAGCCGCGGGCAGCGGAGGGGATGGCAAGGAGGAGGAGGAGGGTTCTTGCGACGTGCAGCGAGGCAGCCAGGGGCCTTGGGAGGACGCAGAGGGCCCAACGGCAGATGTGGAGCTGCCGAGGAGCCGCCTGAGCAGCGAGCCCTCCATCCCGGCCTCTCCCAGCCCGCCCACACTGGGAGGAGACGTAGCTGAAGCCGGGAGCGAGTTCCTGGTCTCCGAAGATGCCGAATCTGCTGCTGCAGACTCAGCAGCTAATTTGGAGGCGGGAGGTCGCGAGCTGGCAGGAGGGGACATCTCTCTGGGGGAAGGACCGTCAGAGATGAATGAGACGGATGCGGCTGAGCAGTTTGAGACTTGCCCATTGAAGTTCTCCCTGGATGGTTTAGGCCAGTCGGGTGCAAAGGAGAGCTGGAGCCAGCCAGGTTTATCTCCTCCGATGGCCGAGCGGGAGGTGGCCTCCGAACAGGAGCCGTTCCCTGAGGAGCTCAGTACATCGCGACTAAACCCGCCTTCCAAGCTAGACCCGGGCCAGTTGGAAATCTTCTGGACGGCTCTGGAAGAGCCGGAGGCAGCCAGTCACCCCACGGGCCTTGGCCCGGCGGTGCGACCCCAAAGGTTAGCGCGTGGCGAGAGACCACCCCAGCCAGAGCCAGCGTGGGGCGATGGCGAGGGGCAGCATGGGCCAGTGGCCGGCCCCGCCGGGCAAGCGGGAGGCCAGCTTGAGCCTTGCACCCCCGTGGAAGTGGCCAGCCCTCCCCGGGAGGCAGAGCAGGGCAGCCCCCCTGCCAGCGAGCCCGAGGGGCCATGGCGCTGGTGCTCGGCAGAGAGCAGGATAGACTTCAAGAAAGCCGATTTCTGGAAGCCAGCTAGGGCGGAGGAGAGGTGCGAGCAGGACGCTTCGGCCCCGAGAAATCCCTTTGCTGCAGCGCTCAGCCCCAGTGCCCTGAGCAACCCCTTTGTGGAGAAGCCACCAGACCCCCTCCTCCCCGTTGGAGCCGTGCTGCCCGAAGGGCTTAGTCAGGGAGGCTTCAGCTTCACCCACCTCCGCGAGGAAGCCCTTGGGCAAGGCTTCTCGCCCACTAACCCCCCCGGGGACCCGCTAGGCCAAGCTCCTTTCCTGCATGACAGCCAGCCCTTGGCCTTCTCCACCCCTTTCCTCGTGGCTGCAACTAACCCTAAACAGTTTGATTTCCCTTCCCCTGTTGCGTGCCCCACGAGCAGCGGGGTCCCTGCCGCGACCAGCCGCGCAGCCGCCCAGCCCTGCCCTTTGCCGCAGTCCGGTGACACACAAGCTTCAGCGCTCGTGGTTTTGCCCAGGGAGACACAGCCAGCTGAGAAGCCCTTTTTCCAGCAGACAACCAGGTGAGCACTCCGGGGAAGGCGAAGGGGGTGTTATTTGGTAAAGGTGAACCCCGTCGTCCCTTCTGCTCTCAGCAGGGGGGGCCGATAAGTGCACCCTGGCTCGGGGGCAGCAGCTCACGGTTGTGCTGACCCCAAGGAGGCCGCTCCACGTGTTGCTGCAGGTCTTCTCCCTCACCTTCCCGTGGTCCCAGAGAGTCCAGCCTGAACAGCCTTGGCTTTCTCGGATCACGGCGGGGAATGGCCACTGGTGTCCTGTGTTTGTCCTGCACGAGGGCAAACGCTTCGCTGCATCCAAGACCTGCCCCAGCTGAAAATTCAGCCACAGCAGAATTGCATCCACATTTCCCTCGATGCTAATTTTGGCTCCATCATCTTCCCTGTGCTTGCAAAATAGGTGCCTTTTCCACGCCTACCAGGAGAGTTTCCAGCTGTTAATGCTCTCATGAGTTCCTTCATGGCATGTGCACAGCTACTGCCCCTTCCCTTTTCATTAATTCAGCTTTGGTTTCTTTCCTTTTTAAATGACCCATCAGATACTAAAACCCTTCTTCTCTCCATAGACAAAAATTTTAAAAAAGTTTCACCAGGGTGGTGGCAAAATACCATTTCCCCTTCCTCCTGCCGAGGTGCCCGTTGGTTGTGAAGCAAGTGAGATTTAATGGGAATGGGAAGGGGGGGACTGTGGTGTTGCAGCAGAGGAAAGAAGGGGCTGCTCCTCCTCCCAGATTAGTCTTGGGCTTGTAGAAATGCTGGGAAGCAGTGGAAGGTGCTGAGTTTTGGGCATGGAGTCTTTCTCTACGTCCTTCAGTTCATCTGGTTTTCCTGGTGCACCTTCCCCTGGTCTGCCTGGGCAGGAGAAGACGGTCCTGGGCTCACTCTGCCCAGAGTATCTCAGATCAAGCTCTTAGGGTTTACCCAGGGACCTGGGTCTTCTAGCAGGGATTGATCAGCCTCACTTCTGTGACAGAAAGAGCTTCCTGGGTGACTGAAATGATAAAGACCCAGGAATAATATTGGTCATGGCCCTGGGGAGAGAGAGGGCAAGAGGATGGGCACATCAGAACTCAGCTGAGCTCCAGCCCTTCTGCGAGGGGATCCCTCCTTGGCTCGGGTGTGGGGCTGATGTGCAGAACGACCTCAGGAGCAAGAGATGGGTCTGTTAGCTGATGTTTTTTTTTTCCTTTATTGAGGCCAGATCCTCAAATCATTAATTGTATTATTCATCCTCCAACAGATAACCTCATTTAAAAATTTCCAGATAGAGGGTATACAGAAACCTTCTGAATATTTGGATGTTTGTTACGTTTCATGGAAAGAGAAGTGTCCTGCAATCCCAAAGGGTAAAATTAGGCCATGAGAGAAGCCTAGTCCCAGGGCTCTCCGTCAATAGTACGTGGTCACGGTCATCTTTGGGCTTGACTGTGCATCCACTGCATCTACCCAAGGGCTGACTGGCCCGTGGGAGGAAAGTGGGCTTGGAGCTAAGTGCTGGCTTCTGTCATAACCCGCCTGAGAAGTCCTTGAACATCTCTGCTCTGGTTTTGCTACCTGTAAAACACGGATGTTTTGGATACTTGCTGTGATGGAAGAACCTTTGAAGAGTTACCGAGGTCTCTGTGAAGGCTCTGAGGTTCTGCAGTACTCTGTGAGATTGGGGAGATGTGACTAATTATCACGGGGGAAGAGAGACAAGGTGGAAAGGCCCTTTTCAGGGTCCCTGTGGCAACGCTTGCCTTTCCTAGGATTATCTCCTGTTAGGACGGTCAGTAGCACATTGACAAGAAGAGGTATGTTAGAAAAAAGGTGGAAGGACATGAGCCAGAGTGTGCCCAGGGGGCCAAGAAGGCCAATGGCATCCTGGCTGGTGTCAGCACTGGCGTGGCCAGCAGGGACAGGGAAGGGATCTGAGCCCTGGGCTCGGCACTGGGGAGGCCGCCCCTCGCTGAGGGGGTTCAGTTTTGGGCCCCTCACCCCAAAAAAGCCATTGAATGACTCGAGCGTGGCCAGAGAAGGGCAACGGAGCTGGGGCAGGGTCTGGAGCACAGGTCTGCTGGGGAGCGGCTGGGGGAACTGGGGGGGTTCAGTCTGGAGCAGAGGAGGCTGAGGGGAGACCTCCTGGCCCTCGGCAACTCCCTGCCAGGAGGGGGCAGAGAGGGGGGATGAGTCTCTGGAGCCAAGGAGCCAGCGCCAGGCCCCGAGGGAATGGCCTCAAGCTGCCCAGGGCAGGGTCAGGCTGGCTCTGAGGAAGGATTTCTGTGCAGAAGGGGCTGTTGGGCGTTGGAATGGGCTGCCCAGGGCAGGGGGGAGTCCCCGGGATCCCTGGAGGGGTTGAAGAGTCGGGCTGAGCCAGCGCTGAGGGATCTGGGGGAGTTGGGAACGGTCAGGGGGAGGGTCATGGTGGGGCTGGGGGAGCTGCAAGGGCTTTTCCAACCAGGATGATTCTGTGGTTCTGTGAAGGAAAAAGGAAAGACTTTAAACTAAACTTAGAGCAGGCGTTAAGGCTTCGCTGGGACAAAGGTATCTTCCAACAGATACAGGAGGAGCTGGTACCTGGTGTGGATTATTGAGAGTCAGTTGTGCTGGGGTTATGTGACCTCCTCAGGAAGGGTGGCAACCGGGTGTGGAGTCCCACATCCTCTTCCCAGGTGGCCAGAGTGGCTCTCTGCTGGTCACCTTGTTCAAGATGGCAAGTGGTAGCCATGTATATGGGAGTGACAGCAGCACCTCCCTTCTAGTCTGGCTGGGTCAGGGCCCAGTGACAGTGAGCTGGGAGGTTGTGTCCTCCTGGAACAGCTTCTCGTGCGCCAGATTTGAAGACGCAGCCAGGCAACTGGGAGTCTGGAAGAGCATGTGTTGGGATTGTGTCTGCAGATCCTGCCCTGCGCTCCTGCAGCGCTGCCACCGGGGCACAGCCGGTGCTCGGAGCATCCGCCGCAACGCTGGGGTGTACGGAGGCTCCCCGTTCCTCTCTCTGGGCTGGGGCAGGATGGTCACCGCTGGGAAGGTGCCTCTGGTCACGTCCCCTGCTACAGGTGGGACCTACAGGAGGTTGTGCAGCTCCTTCCCCATCCCTCGGCACCTCAGACGTGGGACATTGTGGCGCTTGTGGGTGACAGGACTGGGGGTGTCCGAGGTGGTATTGGCACACGCTGCTTTGTGCCTTCCCAATGTCAGGAGTGCAACAGAATCGTTCTCTTCTGAAAAACAAGGTTTTCAGGTTGAATCATGTGCCAGTCTGTGATCCAATTGGATTCCTCGGGGAGCCCACAGAGGTCTGGCCCTCAGGTGCTGCTGCAGGCACAGCAGCTTACCCAGGAGAGATTAATTTCCTTGGATTTGTTGTCTTGTTCTCTGTGAGCAGCATTTTAACGACTTGGTAAAGACTTAATTTCTAAGTTGCTCTGAGGGAATCTCCCCAGTTTTTCCACTGCGCTCAGCAGTGAGCTCAGGAGCGTTGGTGAAAGCTGTGCTGTGAGGCAGCAAGGCTTGTGCAGGGAGAGGGGCCAAGGCTGAGTCCCCCTCACCCTGAGCTCTGTCAGCTTGAACATGTGTTAAGCTTCATCACAGACATATCTACCCTCAGAGATGCAGGACTGGATTAGGCAGGCTGTCGGCGTGAGCAGCTACTCTCAAGTTCACAGTCATTGACCAGTGGATGGAACCAGGTCCAGCTCCTTGGCAGATCCAGCAGGACTTCAGACGTGGCTGTGAAGAGGCGTGAAGCAACCTCTGCTCTTCTGGAAGCACCCGGTGCCAACTGTCCCGGGGCAGGACGCAGGTGGAGCCGTGCTTTTGGACCCTCTTGGAGGGAGCAGAGCCCCCATGCTGCTCAGCAGGAGCCCCGCACACACCACTCTCTCAGTGGGAAAGACCAGGATAATGATTTTTTTAAAAATACCTCATCCAGCTCTTCAGAAATTAATGTTTTCCCACTGGCAGTGGGGCTGAAAGCTGCCTGAGACCAAGATATGCAACTGGAAATGTCGCTCTGCTTTCAAAATGTGTCTGAGCTGTCCCAAGGCTGTTGCTGGTTTGCACTCCATAGAGTGGCTTTGCTCCTAAAGAAGTTCCTTTCAGAGGTTTAAAGTGGTTTGAATGTTCGTGTTGGCCAGCCAGAGCCTACAGGCCTCTTGCTTCGGGGTGTCAGCGTCCCCCTTCCACAGCCATATGCTGGCCTTAGTCTCTGGGCTGGCTGCGGGGACGCCGCGGGGCTGCGTGAGGCCACGGTGGTGTTTGGGGCTGTTTCTCTTCAGGTGTGGCTGTGATGAGCCATCCTGGCGGCTCCCCAGCTGCTCTCCCTCCCAGACACCGTGTTTTGGGGAATAGTAGAAGTGTTACAGTGGGAGCAGAGCTGCCTTCCCCAGATCCTGCAGCAAAGCTAGCTCATTTTGGGCTAGGAAGGAGGCTAGTGGCGCTTCAAGCAAGCATGGCCTCTGGTCTGGTTCGCCCTCACCCCATCTTAACGTTGTAACAGTCGCTGGACCCAGCTACGGGGCCGTTCGTAACGCGCCGTCACAGTGTTTGCGGCTCTGCCGGGGAAGGGTTTGGGCCGGGGTGGAGAATTCTTGAGGCTGATGTGCAGAACGGTGACTTCTCCAACCCCTGGCGCTGTCAGTGAACTCCCGCTCAGGTTCATGGGATCCTGCTCCAGCTTTTCAAGCCACGCAAGAGCCCTGAGCTCTGTCCACGTGCATGGATGGCTCTGACGATCCTTTGGCTTGTTGGAGCTGGTCTGTGGCTACCATCGCTGTCATCTCCTAGCAAGTGGATGAGAGGAGGCATCATCGTGGTCGAAGAGGACTCGAGACGTGCCCTGTCAGCACGACGGGGAGGCTGCTGGGTACCTCCTGAGCCCGCTGCCACTGACGAGGCACGAGGCCACCAGCCCTGAGGACTTGGGCCGCCCACTTGGTGCTTCCTGTGGTGCTCCCAGCCTCACCCACCAGCTCAGACCTGCAGCAGGGTTGAAATGCCCCCCCTCTGCTTTCAGAACGGAAAGAAAGGACAATCGAGCGGTTACAGCACAAGCTGGACTCGAGGGGGGACTGTCCCAGCCCAGCTGCCGGCTCACACAATGACTGGGGGTGTTATTCCTCCCCCCACAGCCCGTCCTACCAACACCCTGAGGTCCCCGTTTGCGAGGAGAGACGCGCTTGCCTGTCTTGCTCGAGAACTGTTGCGAGCGAGACGTCCCCCTTCCCCTGCAGCAGTGTTTGGCCTCCCAGCAGGTGGGATCATCACCCTTTGCAGGGTGGCCGCTGCGTCTGACGAGTTCGGGGGCTTTGCAGAGCTCCCAGGTAGATTTTACGATCTCCTTACCCCAGGTGTGGCGCACGGGGTCTGCCTGGTCCTTGCAGGAAGGTAGCGTCAGGTCACTTCTCTTTCCATCATGCTGAAAAACAAACATACTTTAAGCCCGGAAATAATCTTTTGGGTGAAGAGTGAGGCAAAAAATAAATGTAATTCCTCTGTAACTGACAGAGAAGGTGCATCCAGACAGAGTGTCCTTGCCCTCCCTTTTGGATAGCGAAGGGGAGACAAATTCTGTGGTGTCGTCCAGGCTCTTGGGCTGAGGCAGTGCAGGAACAGATGCACAATGGGCAGGAGCATCCCTGAAGCATCACTGGTGACCCCAGACGCTCATTTGGGAGCTCCCAGGCCACAAAATGCCCCTCTGAGCTGTGGCAACCTCTGTTTATATCAGACCCGCGTTAAAGTTCCCCAGCACCTG